TTTAAAAAGCATTCTGGGAAATTTCCGACGGATTTCCCACCGAAATTCGGTCGGAAATTCAAAATTTAAAACGGTTAAAAATGGCTCCAATTTTTTCCTACCGATTTCCGACCGCCTGAATTTCCGACCGTTTTCCGACCGAATTTTCCAACGGATTTCCTACCGATTGATTTTCCCACGCATTTCCGACCGATCTTACAACCGTATTGCGACGGGAATTTTTCCGTCGGAAATTTCCAACCGATTTTGGACCGAAATTTTCCGGTCGAAAATCGGTCGGAAATCCGTCGGAATTCGGTCGGTAATTTCCGACCGATTGTTGTCCGTCGAAAATTCAGTCGGAAATAGACCTGTTTTTTTGTAGTGAAAGAAACCAGCAAATTCACGTCGATTATGCATCCCCGAATGAAACTCTCTCAGCTTCCTCCTGAAACTAGTATATTTTGTCGAGCGAAACGCTTCATGTGTCCCTTGGTTTGTGTGAAACGTTAGAGATGTAATATCACCACCATACGAACACTCTCCGCTAATTCCAGTGACAAACTCAGACACATGGTTCAGCCTCACCTATACAGATTTTTGTTTTGCAATATCAGTTTAGATAGTAATTAACAATTTTGATTGAAAAGATTGATGAGAGACCTTACGATTCTTGTACTATTGCTTTCAAATGATGAGCCATGTTTTTTAGACATGACCAGAGCTCCGTTCTTGACGTATCCGAACTGAATTGATGTTAAGTATCTGTCGTCAAAAGAGACGAATATGTGTGAGATTCTTTCACTGCACAACTCTTCCCATTTCTCTCCAGAGCTATTTCCTAACGGCCCAACTTTCATCATCTCCGTTATGTAGAAAGTTAGCTAATTATTATACACCAATAAAATATGCTTGCATATAGTACGGATTATATATTGGAGATTTTTCAAGAACCGTAGAGTTTTTTTTCTATATTCTTAGTTATTTATTGTGTTCATGGGGAACAAGCAAAGAGAAAGTCTAAGTAAATTTAAAAACCCTCGAGAACGGACTCTTTGATTTTGAAGAATGCATGTATTTTACAATATTTTTTCAATAAGTATACTATTTTTAAAAAAATAATGAGTATACTGTATTTAAATCAATCACAAGAATATGAGTGTTTATGACACAAGAAAACTTCTATTGATGGAATTGCAAATAGTAACATGTTTTCTGGAATTCTC